GAAAGTCATTTTTTACTTTACCACTGGTTCGAAAAAATCCCTCTGTCCTGGGAAGAACCAGCAAGAAACCCAGCGGGACTTTTTTTAAAATAAATTTTACAATATAAATGATTACGAACTATTTACAAAATTTATTTTAGAAACTGCTTAGAAGCGATCACCTCATTCCCAGGGGTTATTATCAACCATGTATTCATTTATACTATAATAACCCTTTTTATACAGTTTCAGCTTAATAAAACATTTAAACTTGGTAATAGAGAGAACCTGTACACTTTCCGGGACCTTGTTGTAATAGCATATACATTGCCCCAAGAATGAATTACTGACTCTGTGGAGTCGAGAAACTGGTATCACTAGCTTGTGTTTGTTCCTAGTGTTTACAGAATGAATATCACTTCTTTTACTAAAACTATCTTTGTTTTTGTGAACATACATTAAATTTTCGTAAATATACTGAGAGGCCAAAGTTAATATATTAATTTCTTTAAATTTATCTCTAAGAGACTCTCTCGGTTTTAGATTGTAAATAGCTCTAATGGCCCTCTTCTGTAAAACAAAAATAGTTTCTGAATCAGCCGCATTTCCCCATAGCAAAATCCCATAAGACATTATCCTATGAAAATAACTAAAATAAACTAATCTAGCTGTCTCGACACTAGTGAGACCTCTAATCTTTTTTACAGCATAGGCTGCAGAACTTAGTCTGCTTGCTAATTTGGTAATATGGGGGCCCCACTGGAGCTTTGCGTCAAGAGTGATGCCAAGAAAAACTGTGGATACAACAGGGCTCAATTCCTCCCCATTTAAAAACACATTGGTATTCAGAATTTTAACATTCGTTGTTGTAAATTTAACACAATTAGTTTTATTTCCGTTCAAATGCAGATTATTAACGTTAAACCAATGCACTAATTTTGATATAGCATTATTCACTTCGTCACATTTAAATGATTGACGTTTAAGTTTAAAAATCAAGGAAGTATCATCAGCAAATAATACTATATCATGACTATCTCCTACAAGGTGAGGTAAGTCATTAATATACACCAGAAACAGGAATGGGCCGAGAATCGAGCCCTGAGGAACACCCATTAGTACAGGTGACCCGGAAGAACTTTTACCATTGATAATAACCTTCTACTTTCTATTACTTAAATATGAAATAATAAGGTTAAGCGCTATGTTATTGACACCATAGTACTGTAGCTTCCTGATTAATGTCTCATGGTGAACACAGTCGAAGGCCTTAGAAAGGTCACAAAATATACCCAAAGCATCCTCTGAATTCTCCCATGCACAAAAAATATGTTTAATAAGCTCAACTCCAGCGTCAGTTGTCGAGCGACCCCTTGTAACACCGAATTGATTATTATGTAGCAATTTATTAATATTAAAGAAACTTAACATCTGATCTAAAATAATTTTATCAAAAATTATATTTAATATTGGTCTAAAATTGGAGGGGTCTAATGTACTACCAGATTTAAATATAGGTATGACTTTACTATGTTTCATTAAATCAGGAAAAACACCAGATTCGACGCTTATATTAAATATAGTACCTAGATAAGGTGCTAATGTATCTATTATAGATAAAATAACTTTAACGGAAATCCCCCATAAGTCTGCCGTTTTCTTAACATCAATAGTTTTAAAATATTTAACGATATCTTTTGGCAGTACCCTATGGAATGTAAAAGTATTTGAACAAGCCTTTACATTTTGTTTGAGCAATGATTTGGTGACAGTAGGAGAAGAATTTAATGATTTTGTTGTCAAAAAAGGAACATCAGTTAAATTTTTCTCAATAGCCATAGCAACTTCTTGATCAGATCGCGTTAAATTATTGTTAATATTTAATTGAAAATCCGAGTTGCGCGGTTTGACCTTGCTCGTTTCACTATTTATTATTCTCCAGGTCATTTTAATTTTGTCGGATGCAGTTTTAATTTTGTTGCCTAAATGTAAAGCCTTAGCAGTGGAGCACACTTTTTTAAATATTTTAGAATATGTTTTTACATAATCTCTAAATATAACACTACTATTATATGATCTTTCATCATAAAGCTCGTATAACCTTCGCCTACTTTTATAAATTCCTACTGTCGCCCATTCATTAAATGATTTGCGACTGTTAAAAGAGAAAGTTTTAGAAGTAAATATTCTATTAAATTCACAACTTATTATTTTAAATAATGTAGCATACAAATAATTAGCATTATTTTTAAGTCTTTTTATTATATTACTTCTAAACCTCTCCAAGCGATGTTCATTTATTGGAACAAACACAACTTTCTTATTTTTTTGTTTTTTGTGTATGTAAGGTAGTGAAACTAACTGTCCACAGTGATCTGAACTTAAATTTTGAATAATTGATTTATGCAAGGGCTTAACATCTGTAAAAATGTTATCTATACAGGTCGCACTAGGCCCAGCAATACGTGTTGGTTCTAAGAATAAATTTACAAGATTATACGATTTAAACAATGAACGAAACTTAATACTAATGGAATAAGTTTCAAGGAGATTGATATTAAAGTCTCCACACATTACAACAGACTTGTTCTGTTTACTAAGTTTGAGTAAAACTTCTTCCACAATCCTTTCAAAATGGTCATAAGTAGCACATGGGGGTCTGTAAACACTTACAACAATGAGGTGCTCGAGCTCGACACAAGCCATTTCTACAGTTCGTTCAACAGAGAGGCTCGCAATATCCTTACGTTCTTTATATAATAATGATTTATCTGCTAATATTAAGGAGCCACCACGTAAACTTTTTTCTCTATTGAAGGAACTGATCACCTGGTGATTTCTGAAATTAAACATGAAATTATAATCTTTTAGCCAATGTTCAGTAATACAAAGGATGTGTATATTGATACTATTTAAAAACAATTCAACTTCCGATTCTTTGCCCAACATGCCTTGTATATTTTGATGTACCAGGTGTAAACAATTTTTATTAATTATTTGTGGGCTGTATTCAAAATTAATTAAACGTTTTATACGTGGTAGAGCCATGCTGCAGCTATATTATGGTTGTAGCACGAATGGGTCGGCTCGACCGGGGAAGAACCACGCTCTCACAGAAAACCAGCGTAAAATAGCAGCTTAACGCTGCTGTGTTTCGTATGGTGAGTGTAGAGAACCGGAGACCCTTTTTACTGGCAAAGAGGCATTCCATCTTAGTCCTCACGGGTGACAACGCATCTGCATCTTGAGTCTTTATTGAGGATAGATGTAGATGTCTATGGGTCACAGTAACCACTTACCATCAGGTGAACTGTGTGCTCGTTTGTCACCCGATCCTATAAAAAAAAAAAAAAAAAAAAAAAATTAATTAAACTCTTATTATTGCTAGAGATTGCCTCTATTGTCACATTCACTAATTTAAATTAGTTGGAACTGATTCCAAATTAAATGTCAAACGATTATGCTCATTAAAAGCAGTCTTGGTAGCCAAAAACTTGGCTGAGTTAAAAAGTAAATAATAAGATAGCACATTTGCTATCAGTCTTAAATTATATTTGGATAGGTAATACCTATCTTTTGTCCAAAACTTTTTTATTAAATTATTTATGTCAATTACATGAAATTTATAATTATTATCATTAGAATTATATGTCAAATTTAAATTATTATTACATATTAAATTATGCATTTGTATATTTAAATTATGTCTTAAATTATTTTCTTGTGGCAATCCCTGTATATAAAGCAGTGTGAACAAGACAATTTTGTGTACACTTAAGTTATTAAGTTGTTCAATATATCTTAATAACTGTTTGTTGTTGACACTGCCTCTTCAACCAGCAAAAATTATTATTGTACTATTTGGGCAAAATTTAGTAACATAAATTTTATTTAGGATGTCACTACAAGATGCTCCAGGCATGCAGCAATTTGTAACTTTTTGTCCCTTTAAAGAGTTATTTAAAGTTATGCCTAGATTTTTTCCTATGTCATCGCTATAAACATTTAGAATCGTAAAAATATTTAGAATCGTGAATTGGTTTTCGTTGTTTTAGGTTGTTTAACAATATTTCAAAGGAATATTGATAGATATGATAAGGATATAGAACGACGAGTGAACGCAGGAAATAGAGTGAATGGGGCTCTACACGCTATTGTGAGGAGTCAGAATGTGTCAACTAAGGCACGTATGGCAATTCATAATGCTGTGTTAGTACCCACTTTAATGTATGGTAGTGAAAGTTGGGTCTGGTGGAAGAAGCATGAGAGTAGAATAAATGCTTTAGAAATGCGTTCCTTAAGGAGTATGCTAGGGCTGAATCTGAATGACAGGGTGAGAAATAGTGTAATAAGAGAAAAGTGTGGTTTGCAAGATGACGTTGTGACAAGGATTAAGAAAGGAATGCTTCGGGGGTTTGGTCACGTAGAAAGAATGAACGAGGAAAGAGTGACAAAGCAAATTTATGTTGCAGAAGTGAACGGCAGGGTCGGGAAGGGACGCCCTAGACGAAGGTTTATCGACCAAATCGGCGATACATTAAAAATGGGCCAGATTAGGAGTACCCTTAACCGACGAGCGTGTATGCGTAGATATATGGATGTAAAAGAGGCGAGAGAGGTGTGTCAGGATCGCGCCAAATGGAAGTCCGTAGTCTCTGCCTACCCCTCTGGGTGACAGGCGTGAGTGTTTATGTATGTATGAATATTAATAGTATACGGTACCTATACATCTACTTTTTTTTTTGTTGGTTATATTTATATTGACTACTGCTTTCGATTTCGGTTTGCTGCGATTTGTTTTGTGATTTGGTTTAAGTTGATTCGATTTTTTTTGGCTATCGTTTTCGGATTCGTTTTGTGTCTTGAATTGGTTTTATTGTTTTGATTTCAAAAAATATTAAAAGGAATATTTATTATTTTTAGATATTTTGGATTTGCTTTTAAAAAAATATTTAAAAGGAAATTTAATTCCTTTTAGGTACTTTAACGTTTTTTATAAATAGCTTTTTTGTTACTTCATAATGCCTTGCAAACGTAAGTCCAGCCCTTCAAGAGAATCTTCTCAAAGACAAGCGAAAAAATTAGCTCGATTGCTAGAATCTTTAAAATATGCTGAACTGATAAGGCAAGAACAAGCAGAGCGTCAGGCTGCTTTTAGAGCATCTGAGACACCTTCTCAACGTCAGTAAAGGCGTCTTGAATAGACAGAGCGTCAGGCTGCTTTGAGAGCTTCCGAAACACCTTCTCAAAGTCAGTGAAGGTGTCTTGAACAGGCAGAGGGTCAAGCTACTTTAAGAGCTACAGAAACACCTGCTCAAATTCAGCAAAGGCGTCTTGAACAAGCGGAACGTCAGGCCGCCTTAAGAGCCGCGGAAACACCTGATGAAACTCAACACAGACTCATTGAACAAGCTGAACGTCAATCTACTATAAGGGCATCTGAAACACCAGAACAGACCCAAGCGCGAAGAGATGCAAATGCACAGCTCCAAGCTGAACGTCGACAAAATTTTTAAAGAAACAATTGGTCGGTTTATAATGACGCAGCATTCAATTATGATCCGTTGATTGATTATAAAAATCACAGGTTAGTTGTTATCGGACTGATGAACAAGGCGTGTCGATTTTACAGCGCTTTAAAATGTAAAGATGAGACCGCAGGCATGTGCTGTTCCAATGACAAAGTGTCTCTTCCGTTACTTGGGGAACCAGGAGAACCTTTGAAAACTCTCTTTTTATATGATGCTAATGAGTTACGGCGCTTTATAAACAGGATCCGGAAATATAACTCATGCTTTAAAATGATGTCCTTCGGAGTTGACCGGGAAATAATAATGCCGAGATTTTCGCCTACGTTTACGGTACAAGGGCAAATTTATCAAAGAATATGTTCACTTTTTCCAGCTGAAAACGAACAGCATAAATTTTTACAAGTATATTTTATGAGTGACGAAGAAATTGAGGTAGACCGTCGCTGCCAATTTATCAAGGGAGTTGAGAGAGACACAGTGTTCAAAATTCAAATATTCTTGCATGAACGTAACATTTTAGTCAAAACATTTAAAACTGCTTTAGAAAACCTACCTGAAGAGGATTATAAAGTCGTCATTCACGCAGATCGGACCCCTCGAGGAGAGCATGAAAGGCGCTACAATGCACCTTTGATAATCGAAATAGCAGCCGTAATTAGTGGTGATCAATTTTCTTCACGAGACATTGTCTTGCGAGCACGTGATGATACGTTGTAACGGGTAGCCGATACACACAAGTTTTATGACGCTCTGCAACACACATTGATTTATTGCAAAGGACAAGAGGGTTATCATTTTCAAATTCCACTCATTAATTAGTGTGGGACGCAAGTACAATGTCGCATAAAAAAGCTGTAGAAGAACTAAATCGGACGCACCAGGATTTGCGCAGCAATACCGATGTAATGGGAGGAATGGTGGTTTTACTGGCTGGTGACTTTCGCCAAACTTTACCTGTCATTCAAAACACACCTGCAGATGAAATTAAAGCATACCTCAAGTCGTCTATTTTATGGAACAAGGTGACAAAATTCAGTTTAACTACGAATATGAGAGTGAATTTGTATAATGATATCAATGCTGAAAACTATGCTGACACAATATTAAAAATTGGCCATGGGCGGTTGGAAACGGATGCTGAGGGCTGCGTTAAATTGACGAGAGATTTTTGTAATTTAGTACAGAGTCATTCCGAATTAATTGCGAGCGTTTATTCAGATTTAACGAAAAACATGCATGAAGACAAATGGTTATGTGAAAGGGCGATTCTTGCACCAAAAAATGAGAGCGTTAATAAAATAAATTCAGATATATTGAGCGAAGTAGCAGGAGAAATAACAGAGTATTTGTCAGTAGACACAGTTATGGACACAGAACAGAGCACTTTATATCCCGTAGAGTTTCTAAATTCTCTAGAGTTGTCAGGTGTGCCCTCACATAAGCTTCAATTAAAATTAGGCGTCCCAGTCATGCTAATGCGAAATTTAGATGCTCCTTGGTTATGTAATGGGACAAGGCTGCGTGTGACAAATCTTGGACGGAACATAATCGGTGCTACAATTTTGACAGGCGTAGGAAAAGGTGAAAATTTTATTATACCACGGATCCCTATAATTCCCACAGATCTACCTTTTCAATTCAAAAGGTTGCAGTTCCCTATTAAGCTCAGTTTTGCAATGACAATTAATAAAGCGCAAGAGCAAACGTTACAGGTAGCGGGGGTCAACTTAGAAAAACCGTGCTTCTCTCATGGTCAGCTATATGTAGCATGTTTGCGTGTGTCAAATGCCCAGAATCTCCACATTCTTGCCCCGAATGGAAAAACATATAACATTGTGTACAGTAGCGTCTTAAAATAGTGTTCAGTTAGTTTTTTTTCCGAAATTCCCACAATCAATTAATCAGAAGTCCCACAGATCTTCCCTTTCAATTCAAAATTTCCTATTTAGCTCAGTTTCTTTTCAATTCCAAATGCTGCACCTCTGACGGACCTATTAAGCTCAGTTTCCTCCAACTCAAAAGGCTGCATCTCTGACGGATCTTTTATTTGGCTCAGTTTCCTTTCAATTCAGAAATCTGCATCTCTGACGAATCAATTCAGCTTAGTTTCTTTTCAAAAGTCTGCATCCATGACGGATAAATAATGCTCAGTTTCCTTTAATTAAAAGAATATCCCATTTCCATTTGGAATAAACAGGCTATTTTCATGCTTTCCTATACGTTGCGTTTGCGTTTCAAAACACGTTTAAATAGGCTGACGAATCAATTTTGCTTAGTTTCCTTTTAATGGCTGCATCTCTGACAAATCTATAAAACTCAGTTTTCTTTCAATTCAAAAAGCAATGGATAGTTCATTTCCCAGTGACCACGCGGGCGAAGCCGCATGTAATAGCTAGTTAACTAATAAATATTATCATGTAAAGAACGTAAAGATATTGTGAGCCTTTCTGTTGAGCGAACTGTAGAAATGGCATGTGTTGAGTTTGAGCACCTCAATCTTGTGAGCGTCTACAGAATCCCATGTTCTATATACGATACTTTTAAAATAATTATGGAGGAATTTTTTGTTAAGCTTAATAAACAGAATAAATCTGTTGAGATATGTGGAGACTTTAATATCAATCTCCTAGAAGCTTCCTCCATCAATATTCAATTTAGATCATTGTTTAAATCATATGGTTTTTTTTAATTTATTTTTAGAGCCAACGCGTATTACTGAATGTATTGCAGCATGTATAGATAACATTTTTACAAATTTTAAGCCGTTGCGTAAATGTATAATTCGAAAATTGAGTTCTTATCACTGTGGACAGTCAGTTTCGTTACCTTATTTTATAGGATAGGGTGACAAACGAGCACACAGTCCACCTGATGGTAAGTAGTTACTGTGACTCATAGACATCTACATCTATCCTCAATAAAGACTCAAGATTCGTTGTCACCCGTGAGGACTACGATGGAATGCCTCTTTTCCAGTAAAAAGGGTCTCCGGTTCTCTACACTCACCATACGAAACACAGCAGCGTTGAGCTGCTATTTTACGCTGGTTTTCTATGAGAGCGTGGTCCTTCCCCGGTCGAGCCGACCCATTCGTGCTACAACTATACTACTAATATAGCTGCAGCATGGTTCTACCACGTATAAAATTCACAACAAGCAAGTAGATTTTTTTTTATAGAAATAGGGTGACAAACGAGCACACAGTCCACCCTTTGGTAAGTGGCTGCTGTGGGCCATAGACATCTACATCTATCCTCGTTTGTGAATCAAAATGTAGATGCGTTGCCACCCGTGAGGACTAAGATGCAATGCCTCTTTTCCAGTAAAAAGGATCTCCGGTTCTCTACACTCACCATACGAAACACACCAGCATTAGGCTGCTATTTTACGCTAGTATTCTGTGAGAGCGTGGTCCTTCCCCGGTCGAGCCGCCCCATTCGAGCTACAACTATATTGTAAATATAGCTGCAGCTTGGCTTTACCACGTACAAAAAGTAGATGAGAAAATTGTGTTTATTCCAGTAAATGCACGTCGCTTAGAGAAATTTAGAAGTAACACAGTGAAGAAACTTCTATCACTTTCATACCAAAATAATCCTAATATTTTTGTATGGAACATTGTTTAAGTTTATTTGCAATGAATTTGATAATAGTTTTACTTCTAGAACGTTCTCCTTGAACAGTCGGAAGGCATTCAATGACTGGCCGACAGTAGGAGCTCACAAGAGCAGACAAAGGTTATATGAACTTTACCATGCCACTTCAGCTTACTAATCCGTTGGGCTATGTCGGTTACTCTGGTTCTACTGCGGATATCCTCATTCCTAAGTTTATCACGCAGAGAAACTCCGAGCATAGCCCTCTCCATAGCTCGCTGAGCGACCTTGAGCTTCCTCATACGGCCAGCAGTGAAGGACCACGTCTCAGTTCTGTAAGTCATCACTGGCAACACGCACTGGTTGTACAATTTCGTATTAAGGTTTTGAGGTATGTCTGACGAGAAGATGTGTCGTAGCTTACCGAACGCTGCCCAGCCGAGTTGAATCTGTCGATTGACCTCTCGGTCGAAGTTGGACTTACCTAGTCGGACTAGTCTAGTCCCCCACGAGATGGAGTGACGACCTGGTAAGACATGCAGGAAGTCGATGGATGCAGGTGGCTCAGGACTGTGCTTTGTGGCATTCTTTGGGGGAGGCCTATGTTCAGCAGTGGACTTGTGAAGGGCTGTAATGATGATGATGATGATGATGACTTAACTGGTAATTTGAATTGCGAGAGTTGATCTTACCAGTTTCGCTATTAATTATACTCCATGTCATTTTAATTTTATTGGAAGCCCTCCTAATTTTGTTGCTCAAATACAAAGACTTGGCTATGGAGCAAACTCTTTTAAATATTTTTGAATATTTTTTTACATATTCCCTAAATTCGACGCTATGATTATATGACCTTTCATGGTAAAGATCATATAACCTATGCCTGCTCTTATGGACTCCTACTGTCGCCCATTCATTGAATGACTTCCGACTGTTCAAGGAGAATGTTTTAGAAGTAAAAGTATTATAAAATTCATTGCAAATAAGGTTAAATAATGTTCCATACAAAAAATTTGGATCATTTTGGTATGAAAGTGATGGAAGTTTTTTCTCTATGTTACTTCTAAATTTCTCCAAGCGAAGCATTTACTGGAACAGACACAACTTTCTCATCTACTTGTTTTTTGTGAACATAAGGTAACGAAACTACTTGTCTACAGTGATCAGAACTTAATTTTTTAATAATACATTTATGCAACGGCTTCACATTTGTAAAAATGTTATCAATACATGTTGCACTAGATTGAAAAATACGCGTTGGCTCTTTAAATAAATTAAAAAGACCATATGATTTAAACAATGATCTAAATTTAATATTGATGGAGGAAGCTTCTAGGAGATTGATATTAAAGTCTCCACATATTACAACAGATTTATTCTGTTTATTTAGCTTAGCAAAAACTTCCTCCATAATGTTTTCAAAAGTATCATATGTACAACATGGGGGTCTGTAGACGCTCACAACAATGAGGTGCTCAAACTCAACACATGCCATTTCTACAGTTCGCGGAGAGGCTGACATGGGGCAGCCAGCGTTGCTTTGGCACTGAATGTGTGCGAGAGCTTTCCCGCGGCCCTGCCAATATGCGGCGAAGGCGGAAGGTAACTTGTAGTCGGTGCGAGTCTCAGATAACCCGTTCATGCCCCCGCGAGACGGATGTGCGTAGGCATTTCCCTAAGAAAAAAAAAGAACAAAGTAAAATAGACTAATTTAGCCTAGTTGAGTAGATTTGTCGCTTCATAAGTCAGTTTTCTAATCCTTCTAATAGCGAAGGTTACAGAACATAATTTCGAAGCTAGTTTATCGAATTGCGCACTCCATTGGAGCTTAGAACCAATAGAAATTCTGAGAAATACGGTTGAACTTTCGAAATTCAAATTACTATCTTGTAAATTAACTACAGCGTTGAGAGGGTTTTGTAACTATTTGGAAACAATATATTATAATATTTCGTTGGACCGTCTCAGTGCGAAGTAGGTTCATTTTACTTTAAATAATAATGAGGTTTCATCAGCAAAAATATCATTTATGTGGATCAAGAAAAAAAATGCCCCGAGTATCGATCCTTGAGGGACACTTCATTCTATCTTACGTTGCGATGACACTACACCTTTTATTGTAACCTTTAGCTCACGTTACTATACGACATTATACGAGTATGACATTATTCCACAATGTGATCGTTTGTGGCAGAAAAAACCCTTTCATCAAGAATGTATGTACATTTTTAAATAATTTAAATAGTACTTTCACCCTAGAATTTTTTCCTGAATCGTAGAAGCAGTTTACTTACACAAATTTCACAAGGGCGAACATTCAAATCTGAAATAATTATTTGCAGGTCATAGAAAAACTGGTTCCGTGTGGATTTGAACCCGCGGTCCGCAGTTGCAAAGCTTCCGCGCCACGGAGCATCATCATTATTATTAAAACTATTTCTAGAAGATGAATATATCGCTAGAAATTAGTAATGAACTTGATGAGAGCCATGAGAGCTAACAATTTTCTGCTCACCAGATGTCGCTAGTTGATAGAGGTGAACTTATTAGTCACAAGCCAAAATCTAATTTTCTACCTTTTTCAAACTTTTTATAAAGTTAAAGCATTATAGGAAAGCAGCTGGCTTTAAGTAACAAACTTTTTTTTAGACTAACACCAGATGGTAGCCTAATAGCTAATGGTTAAAGTTTGATTTACAGGATTTTAATGTACCTACACAGTTCATACACGAAAACCGTTGTATATATATATATATATATATATATATATATATATATATATATATATATATATATATATATATATAAAATTAAAGTGTCTGTCTGTAATAGCGGACACCTTATATTATGCTGAGGATGTTACTAGTATAAATATAAAAAAATAATTAACGTTTTTAAAAATTGTGTCCGTCCACGTTAATTAATCTTCGGAATGGCTAAACCGATTGTAATGAAACATAACAAATAGGTAGGTAGCAATACCAGGAGTGACCTAGATTACATTTCATACGAAAAACTTTGTGAAAGAAATAAAAAATAAATAAAAGGTCAAACGCCAAAAGAATAGATCTTTTCCAGGCGAAGCCGCGGCGGAACGCTTGTTATTTAATAAAATCGTTATATAATTTTTCATTTATGATAAGTCTTAATTATAAAACCTTATAAAACAAATTCAGATAAAATAGAGTTACAACCTGATAAATCAAGTAAGAGGTCGATGAATGCAGGTGGCTCACGATCGTAGGTACTCTGTGGCAATGGTC